CGAGTCAATCGTCATTTGCATGCACGACTCCATCCCGCGCAACATTTTATCACCATACATAGAAATGTTTCGAAGGGGTATTAGGATTGGTTATTCACATGCGAAATTCTTTTGACAGGAGTCAAAACTACAGGCTGTTCTCGAGCAGCTTTTTGGATGTAAAAAAAAAGTATAAATAAGCGAATGAACGGGGTTCATTGAAACATTTTACAAAAGTGTTTTTAGGCAGTTCATTTATTATATATATATATGCTCAAATATTATGAGTGCAGGTTTAAAGAAAATTAAGCTTAAAAAAAACCTGTTTTCTCCTATGCACATAAAGAAAAACTGCAAAAACCTTCTGGTTGATGCTCCTACTCACAGATAATACCACACACGCTCGGATCTACCTGATCTGTTTTCAGGTATGCATCTCAAAGAAGCTTTCGTATTTTTGCTTTATGTTGTGCCATCAATAAGTAGCAATGTCAAGTAGAAGGTGTTTGCTGTTTTCCTCCCTTTAAATAAAATACAACAACACGTTTTTTTAAATTTTTTCTAAGGTTAATGTTTTATCCTTAATAAAGTTTGAGTTTAATAAATGTACCTTCTAATTATACCTTTGTTAAAAAGTTTCAATGCACTTTGTTTATTGGTTTAGTTATGAGAATATTGTTTTAAGCACAAATAGCGCTCCAAAAAACCCGTACAAACTCCGATAAAAAAAATATAAGCGCTCGCAAAACTGTAAGCATTGTGACGTCGTTTAGGCGCCTGCACCTCTACGCTTTAAAACATGAAAAATGAGAAAGAGAGAGAGAGAGAGAGAAAGAGGAGAGAAAAAGAGAAAGAGCGAATTTTTTAGCCGGCTATGTAATGCTGAGGCGATGCGAAGCAGGGCGGGGCACTTTGTTTGCTATTGAGAGCTTTATGCCCACAGCCAAAGGAGAGAATAAATAATATATATGGCGAATTGAGCAAGTAACAAAAAAACAGAAAAGAAGTGTAATATACTGCATATGTTAATTTTTTTTGACGTTCGCTGATCAGCAATTACGATGTTTAAGAAGTGAGCTATATTGTTAGAGCCTTATCAGAGCTCGACAGGTGGTTGGTTTTCTAAAACTGTGAATGATTTATGATAGGGCGGCATACTTGAACACCAACATGAAAAAAAAGTGATTAAGATAGGCGTGGATAGACATGTAACAAAAGTTCGATTTCTTAAGTGCAAACTTTTTTGCTTTGTCAAAATCAGGTGACAGCAGAGTGATGCCAGTCGGTCAAGACTACAAGCGCTTCCCACGTCGAGACAGCTGGGAACCGGATTATCGCGTCCCTAACATCAACGGGAGCGGTCACTACGGAAATGGAAACGCCCACTTCCCGATCAATGGAGGTTACAGGCCTCAGCTTCAGGACAACGCTGACAGCCACGCAAACGGGCGCTATTTCAATCCTAATTACGAGAGACGGTACGGTGGCTACAGAAACGACGACCCTTACAACCCAGGGATCTCATTAGACGCGGCTAGAGAGATAACTCGGAAGATGATGTATTCGTGGGAGCGTCATCTAGCGTCCGTCCCAGAAGACGAAGACTGGCCCGCGTTCAACGAGCTTTTGGAGAAAGTAAGGTTCGCACCTAATAGGGTGCCTTTTGTACGTTACCCTAGGGATTACTCCAGCCCGGATGGCTACCAGGTTGACCAGCCGACATTCTGGCCAATATCTGATGACGCGAAAGAAGGGTGCAGCGATGCTGAACACTACCAGACAATCTTGGATGTGTTGCGGCGGCGACACGGCGACAAAGAAATTGATGACTTTCTCGTGGATGTGATACCAGGTATGGATGCGAACAGGAGGGCTCAAGACGAACTAAAAGCAAACGACCGTGAAAACCTGCGTGCAGATTGCACCTTACCAAGCGGAAGGCTTGATACCCAAATCGGCTTCACTGGAAAACGTCAGTATGTGCGCACTCGAGACGTAGGGTCTTCAGAATCGATGCCCGACGATGAAAAGTGGGCGGCATGTGATCATTCAAATCAACTTTATCCGCCTGTTTTCAAGAAGCACGAGCATCCAAACGGTGAAATAGAAAAGCTCTTTCACTCTGCGGACGCTCATTGTGAACGAAGCAGCCGAACCGATAAAGGCTCACCGCTGAAGCTGTCAAACCAAAAAGAAAGTTTGCTGGCGCAACAGAAACGCATACTTGACGAAGTAGAGGAGCGAATTAATCGTCTTTTGGCAGGGCAGGCCAAAACGTTGGCTGTGCAGGATGATGAAGTTCTTGAGGAACATTATTCGCATGTGGAACACCAAGTATGTTTCCAAGAAGCACTTTCTGGTGACGACTGCGTTCTTGAAAATAATGCAGGATACCAAGCAGAAGATGGCAACAGTCAAGATTCAGGGTGTGACGAAGACTACAAGAATATGAACGCCTTTGAAAACTCTTGTACCATGGAGGAAGTAAACGAGACCGGTGAAGAGGTGAAACCAAGGGAGCTGCTTAGACGGCTCCCCCAAGAAGAGCCGGGGCATTTATCGCATGCTTTTGACATAACCGACAGTTGTCGGGATTGTCCCATGAAAAATGGGAGCTGTGCCGTGTACGAAGATGTCGCATATGACAGCCAAGGGGAGAAGGTAGTCACCACGACTGAAATCATGCACGCTAGCCAGAGCTTGGGCAATGGCAAACTCTAAGCCCCAGTTTGAAATCAATTTTGATTGGGGATGTCTGGACGCTACCACCCAGGACGACTTGTGAGTGGCTCATCAAGCTGACTTTAAAGTCATGGCCGTTCAATCAAACCATAAAAGTCATCCAAAAGAAGAAGAGGGTATTCAAGGACACAGTCCGTTTAAAGAATCAGGAATTAAGGGGGCAGATGACACCGTACCCCTGACATAAATAATACGCACTGCAAAGGCTGAAAAAGGTAGACATGTTAAAGGAAAGGCATCGGGCTCTCTCCACATCTACTGAAATGACTGATGACTAAAAAAATATTAGGCATAAACAAGAGATTCTGGAAGCCATTACAGACCGCGTGCGTAACTTTGTTCAGCATGCTCCATATGAGACCGCACCGTTAGATTATTCTAAAGAACATGACCAGGATCAAGGTATAGACGAGGGCGAGGAAAACGCCCAGAAAGAAAACAAGAGGGACCTGCTGTAAAGAGGAGATCTGTTATCAAGGAATAGCTGAGGATGCTGTTTTTCTTGAAGGCTTTTTCACAGGTCTTGAGGAGCTTCAAGTGGTGCCTGTGCATCAAGATAAAGCTTGTAATTTCTATACCCCGTTTCACCTTATGTTGTACCGCAGCGAAGGCTAGAAGCGCGAGCTCATAGCGTTGGGAGCTTCTCTTAAAGCACGAGAGCTTGTGCCGCCGAGATGTGCCCTAGAGCAAGGAGCTCGCGCTTGTAGCCTTTTCTGCGGTACATCATAAGGTGGAAGAGAGTATAGATAAGGCTAAATCAGATTATATAAATAATGCATGCGACGTCTGCAGAATGTATTTGATACCTATTGGAAAGCGAGCTGTCCGCTTTTGATCTCAACGACGACGAAAATTTTGTACTTGAGGCGAACCCAGTGACAAGTTAAACGGCGCAAAAGAAAACAACACGTAAACCATTTGTTATGAAAACGAAGTAAAAACAAGGAACATAGTTCGCAACTTACGGGCACATAAGTTTGTTTGTTCGTTGTAAAACAGCAAGGTACGAGGGTCAACCAGCCTTTTCTTTTAAATTCTTGGGATGGTTTCAGTTTTTTTTTTTATTCTTAATACCGAATTATATTTTTATGGTTAGCCGAGACTCATTGTTTTCAATTATGCGTGATCATTTTTTTTTGTGTTTCTTTTGGCCACTTTTATATACGGATTGTGAAATGTGGATTATAAATTCATTGAATAAAGAATATCCCCTGACTCGGACGTGGGTAAAATTGTTTTTCTAATTAAAGACTACTGAATTTATAAGGTTATAGGATATCTTTTTATTGCGTTTTTTTTTTTTTTTGCCGCCTACTCGGTGTAAAGGGCCGCCCACACTAGCGAGAAAACGCGCCCGGCGCGCCGATAAATCGGTTAAGCGGCAAGATAAAGGGCGTGTCTCTGCACGCGCTCGTGGCGCTGACTGTGCTTCGGCGACATTTTGTTACTTGCCGCGATCGGCGCGCCGCTCGCGTTTTTTCGCTAGTGTGGGCGGCCCTTAAGAGGCATTGCCTTCTACAATAAGCTGATGTATGATTTCTGAATTATTTTATTTTTTGAGCATTTACTGCGAGTTAATCCCTCAGCGCACATGTAACAGGTAAGGGACGTAATACTTAGTGAATAAACTACAGTAAACAGAGATGGTAAAATATTCGTAAGATCGGTGGTGATTAGGCGAAAAAAGAGCATAGAGCATTATATAACTCCGCGCGTTCCTAGGTTTCAGATAGTTTCCGAAGAGAGAATGAAAACCTTGAAGAAGGAGAGGTGAATAAAAAGGGAGGATATGGGAGACTGCAAAGTGCGATTAATTGGAAGGAATTAACGCAACTTCTGCATATACTTGAGCGCTTCATGTCACGACATTCATCCCAGTTCAAGTTACTATTGATCGTGTAGTTTTAGCAAGGCGAGAAGACAAACTTTGAGAGAACCCACCCGGCGGACGTAATCCAACAAAAGATGCCCGATCAATTGAATCCGACGGTGCGTACGGAAAGCGGGAAAACATATTGACCACCGGCCGCGGAGTTTCCATGGAAAACGACGATGGTCAACAGATTGCCATCGACTGCTCCGGTATAGAAACGGAGCTGTGGTGGCGTCGTTCATTCACGATCAATGCCGAACCACGACGAGCCGCGGTTCACCGACTTGCCGCGTCCACTAGGCCGTGCGGGACCACGGGCGAGCCATGGTAGTTTGAAGGAGGCCGGGCGAATGCCCAACCTAACCGAAAGTTGAGGGGTTTGAATCAAGGTTCGCGTTTCTTGCTTATGGGTTGTGTTCCTTCGAAGAGGGTGCAATCGGGAGTGAATGAGGTGAAGAGCCTGATTGTTAACGATACCGGGTCTCTTCCAACGACTCCGGTACTGACCTCTCCACTTAAGGCAGCCCAGAAGACTGCGTCTGCGCAGGAACTGAATGATGACGCTTTGGATAAAACGGCTGAACCATTTCAGGTGAGAATAAAAATGATCAAGAATGGAACGCCTACACGCAACTTGGTAGGTGTTGTGGTTGGTTTTACAGGTATATATATATATATATATATATATATATATATATATATATATATATATATATATATAAGGACGGACTCCGGCCGAAACGTCGAAGACTAAATCGTCCGTTGTTGCTGTTTTCACCAAGGTTTTTTTTCTTCCCAGTTATATATATATATATATAACTGGGAAGAAAAAAAACCTTGGTGAAAACAGCAACAACGGACGATTTAGTCTTCGACGTTTCGGCCGGAGTCCGTCCTTCGTCGAAGGCCGCATCCGGCTGATACAGTACTGCCTTTCCTTATGAAACTGTCGGCACAGAGTGCCATTACTTATAGTTGGTGGCAGGTTAAGAAGATGCTCCGCCTTGAACATGGGCTTGCTTTCTTTCATAATAGCACTCGCTGCCAAAGTCCCGTGGAAGGCAGCGAGCTCCCGCCGGAGGCGGGGCTTTTACTAGGTCTTTAACCTATCTCTGACAATACATAGCTTGCAAATGTCGTCGTTGCTGGGTACTGAAGTTACCGAGAAAAGGACGACTGGAGATTCCGGAACGACTGCTAACTCGGAACGTTTAATCTGCTAGCCCTTGCTCTTTTTGCCCGGCTGTCGTCTCGTGGACACACACGCGCGAGCATCCGCGCGCTAAGCGGTGTTGCAGTGACGTAACATCTCGCTGTGTGCCCGTCACACGCGCCGGTTACGATGACGTTGCGGGTGCTAACGGTCATTTCTACTTACTGGCTTCTTCGAACTACAACTCCTCCGGTGTGAAACCACGGCGAAACGAACGTTTGCGGCGCATAAAATGCTGGCATGGCCGAGATTTAGGTCACATGCAATAGTCACTGAGTCCACATGAAGATGTTATTTTGCCTTTTTTGGTATACATTATATCTGCGAAGCTAATTTGGGTTCTTTTGTTTGATGAGTCATCGTTAATATCGTGTGAATTCTTGTGAGGTTGAACTTTTTGCGATTGCTGCTGATGGCAACAGCTAAACTATTTAAAGGCACAATAATAAACTGCAAGTAAAATTAAACACTTTCTAGAGTCTGACGTTGCACGACCAAGTCTTGTTATGTCATTACTACTTATCTCAGGCTTTGGTACGTGACACAAATTGTGTACTGTCTTAGAACATTCATATCCAAAGGTGGCATTCACTGGGCGTCATGTTCGGGGGCGCTGTTTAGAGCGCATACTCAGAATGAGCTCACATTATTACGCTGCCAATACCTGCGACCTTGATGTTGTGGAATGCACCTTGCAAAAGGACTGTGGACGCCCGCCATCAGCACGCGCTCAGCAGTCGCGCACACAGCTATGGCCTCCAGTGCAGGCACACTACTCCAGTTAATGCCTATTATACAGATACTGTAGCAGTAATACCAACAAAAGGTGATGCAACGATTTTATACTTTCAATAAATATAACTTGGAATTATTCCTTGACATTTATAACCTGTGAAACACGCGTTGCTTTTTTTCTCTGCGCAGTGGCAGTCGCAGGAAAAATTTGAGAAGAACAAACACCTTTTAGCTCCTCAACTCGCAGCCAGAAAAGCGGCCACGTGATCTGGAGCCGATTGTATGTTGCCAATGTTTTTAACATAGCCACGCGATGGGATCGGCAAAGCACAGGGCGCGCGCTGAGTTATACTTATTGTTAAAGCGATTTTCCGGTCCAATTTCGTATTCAAGAAAACATTTAGAACTCATTGTGGATGGCTGTTGGAGCATCTTTCATGACAAATCTGAACTTTATGTGCTTTTCTGGACCAGTGACTGTATTTTAAACCAAGCGTACATAAACGGCATGTTTCTTTTCCGCCTTCGGAGCAGCGGAGGCTCTAGTGTAACATAACGCAGAGATCGCTCCAAACTAAAACGCCCTTCGAATTGTACCCTCCCCATGAGCGCTACGACGAGGTTAACCCGCGTTGTTGCGCTAGAAAAGTTTTGGTTTTGGACTCTCGTTGTGCCGTTGTCACGCTCAATATTTCTCCGCGAAATTCACAGTGGCGAGTAAAATGAAACGCTGTGGTGGCGTCGGGAGCACTGTGTAACCCACGGAGGAATGAGGCATAGAATCAGACAATTGCAAGTCTGGTGTTATGTCACGTCAGTCATGGAGCGCAGCCATTGATACCTACGAAACTTGGCATGGAGTTTTGTATAATTATCAGGCGTGGATATCACTAAGTTGGGGTGTCGTTTATTAGAATAAAGTGGCCTTTGTTAGTCATTACGATTCCGCCAGATGACCTTCAACGTATCATAAAAACTTCCGTTTTCTACCTGAGAATCCCTTTAATGTTTGGTTATTCCCATCATCCCAGGCGACAGGAGCCACTACACCAAATGCACGTCGAGCCATTGAATGTCACAAGCCAAAATGAATGCCAACGCAGTTTTCGTGTCAAATGCATAAACAGCATTTAAATATCGCCACAGCGGGGATCACAAAGCTTGATGACGCACTCCAGTGGATCGCATTGTTGGCATTATCCGCACGGCTCCGTCATCGAGCTTTTTGAAGGAGAGACTGAAAGAAAACGCACTCTTTCGTCGAACAAAAAGTTAGGGCGCAAACGAGCTGGTGAAGGTTTAACTTAATTTTAGACAAACCCCCGAGACTGCGGAAAAGGCGAAGGACAACACAGAACGCAGACTCTCAAACACACCTGTGTTTGAGACTCTGTGTGTTGTGTAGTCCTTCGTCTTTTCCCCGGTCTCGGGGGTTTCTCTGTTTCATCAATGGAATTCCATTGCGACGAAGCCTTTTTTTGGTCAGTGGCGTTGAGTTCGAGTATTCCTGGGTTCCAGTAGTGCCAGTAGGCGGGCGTAAAGTGAGAAATGCTTCCACCCAATGTCCTTGCACAGCCCTTTCAAATCGATGCCTGACGTCACAAGATCGATGGCGTGTGTCCTTCTTCTATTCGACTGGGGAGGACGTTGTACAGGTGCGTGTTTACGCACAGCTACTAGGAATAACACTAGAAATGAAGATTATTTCAACCGCGCTATTTAAGCGTATAAAACATTTTTTTTTATTTCGTAAAAACACTGAATAAAATTAATCCCAGATTACACAAGACCAGGTCGTTTTTTCTATCCACCTGTCCTACAGAAACGTCCGTCCTCTAGACGTTGTGTTAGGTCCGATATAATTAAATTTATTTGTGAAAGATCTTATGCGAGAGCCTATTAGTGCCGAGATATTTCTGTGGCGCCCTCTTACGGTTTTCATTCGTGACGTCACGGCCAGGATTCGCCTCGTCGTGAACCGGGAGATGGGGCAAGCATTATCAGTTGACAGGAAGGCTATGCCCGACAAATGTTTCGCTTCTCCTAAAAAAAAAGAGAAAGAAAAAAAATGAAGTGACGAGATTGCGTTTGATTGGGGAAAGGCTCAAACGACAAAATTTTTCTATGAAAATGAGGGCGGAGACGGCTGAACCGAGCGCGCCGCCCCCACCGGACGTGACAAAACATTGACGTTTTGTTTCCTTGTTGTTTCGTCAAAAAACGGGACGAGTCCGTCAATGGGCCCTTTCGGCTTGAGACCGATGGACTTTGTCTCTTTTTAGCGATACTTTTTTTTTTGTGCCAACACCAAGATTTGGTTGTGTTCATTCGTGTGTGTGAGGTGCATTAAAAATGCTTTACGAGTATCTGCCGCTGGCAAAAGACGCTTCAAAATGGACCGTGCAGCCGCTTCGTTGAGAGCACAGTGGCGAGGTTGCGACGCTTGTGTCCTGCGGGGTCGTGCTCGTTTTAGGGTTGACCTATATGCAAACAAAGCTGTGTTGTTGTCATGCTGTTACCGGGTCGATTCTGCGTCCCAGCGAAACACCCAGTGTTGCGTTCGCCTCGGTAGTGCACGTACTACGCCGTGAGAAGACGACGACGATTGGAATACAAAGCACCCATTTCAAAGGTTCAAAGGTTCAAAGGTGTTTATTGGCTAAAACAACCATACGACCGAGAGCCTGAGGCAATCAAAAGGCAGAAGTCCGTCCATACATATGCTGATTTCCTCCTCGGCCATACGTTAACAGATGAAATGGAGATGTTGGAATGTAATTTACAAAAGGGTGAGATTGTAATTTACACTAAATTACACTAGAGTGTAATTTACAGTAGAGTGTAATTTACAAAAGGGTATTTCCTATCGCTCTTGTAACTAGTTCGATAATTTGCGCAAATCTTGGCGCAAAAAAAGGCAGCCCCGGCAAGGGGCCGCAGCTTGGAACCCTGGACCGGCAAACTGAAGACTCACATGCCTATCCGGAGCCTCGAGGCAATGATCCCCCAGATTTTCCCGGGACCATAGTGAAAACACCAAGTGGCAAGCTCCATGGTGCAAGGACTCATGCCATGAGCCAGACGACGGCAAACCCTTATCCGACTCTCGTGAGTCATCCTCAAGGCAACAGCGGTCCACCAACCGTTACAGGTCAGCTCATTTACCATCAGATGTCCCAACAAGACGGTCAGTTTTTAACGGACGGTACGAAACAACGTGAAACGATTGATGAATTCATGAAGAACAAGGAGTTCCACGTACAGGTGGTCACGCGAAAGGATTCGTTTCAGGAGTACTCGAATCATAAGAAAGAGTTTGAAGAGTTTCTTTTGAACCGCAACCTGCCTACCACTGTGCGGCAGAAGCAGATGGTGGCAGGGACACAAGAAACAAATACAGCATGCACAAACGACGCGAGGCAGAGAGATGACAACGAAGAATGGCCACTACTACTATGACATTTATGCAAACACAGCACCTTGCCTACAAAACAGAAAGAAGCCCTTGCAAAAACAAGGAGGTCCCCAACTCAGACAGTGGTGTTGAAACCTACCTGCAAGGAGAAGGTTCACACCTTCACCGGACGAGACATCTACCGGACGATGGAGAAAGCCGGCATCTAGAACACGGACGGTTTCACAGT